TTTACTGAATGAGTTTTGAGAGTTTCAGGAACTTGTTTCGTAGCTTTAAAGATATTTTCAAGTTTGAGTTTTGAGTTATCAATGTGATTTTTTGTGATTTCCATGAGAATTATCGAATTACTTTTTTAAGTACACTCTGTATACAGAAGGTCAACGAGTTCTATTCGAACCTGACGCTCTACGTGCTCAGTAAATTTAGTGGCAGATCTGAGTAGCACACGTTTAGTTGACCAGTGCTCTTTTATTATTTCGCGTATTCCAGCTATAATTCAGCTAAAAAGCGCTACCACTGATTAAGTTTTCGTAATTGCGTCACGCTTTTCCATGATTAAATGCACTTGTTTAATGAAAAAAAGTAGCTCGTTGGATTCGCCGTTAAAAACTGATTATAATGAACTACTCTTTTGGTCGAAAGTCAATGGTTCGTATAACCAGATTTTTAAAATTAGGTATTTTCGTGACGCAATTACATTGAGTTTTATTAAGTATTTCTTCGGCCACTGTGAGATAACAAAGCACCGGATTCAATTCGTTCTTGCGCCAAAACAAAGAGCGTGGTCGATTGTCTATGGACCATGTCTGAAAGAATTCCTATCTCGATTTTTTAATGTTAAAAAAGTCTAAAAAAAACCGACTGAAAAAAAACGTGATCCGCAAACTTGCATTAAACTGACTTTGTGCAACGTTTTTATAATTTCAGATTTGCTTTAGGCCAGTAAAAAGCACACTTCATGACACTATCCGATGCGCTCTACAACGTGACACTAATGGTTTTATTCAGTTTCGTAAAAAATACTTGATCAGCGAAGTGTCGCGTTACGTGGACAACCATGTGGTCTAGTTGAAACAGCCGCTGCATTGATTCATTGCTGGGTCACTAGACTGCCTAGTTCGTCAAGAGCTACGTGTATCTAATTACCGCTGGGACAGGCGTCCGTATCAAATTAATTTCGTGTATGTTTCTGTCAAAGAACTCAAAAATGCTCCAGGTTCTTCCTGTTAAAATATAACATTTGAATTTGGGTATAATAACAAATTTGCCACAAGAAAGCACAACAGAAAGCTAACTAAAAGGAAGATGATTCGCAAGGACAAAATAAAAGGTCATGTTCCACTTTCAAAACCCTCAAAGCTTTACTTCCTTCCAACCTTATGTGATTATTTTATTATTGTAATGTTGTTTGTTCGGAAATTTATGGAAGATGAATGCAAATATATCCACCAGTCATGGAAGGGTTAACTTTTTTCCTAATAATAATTTTTGACTTCGATTGAACAACTAGATATACTGTGTTTGTATTCTGAGATCTTACCAGATCTCAAACGGAAACAACCCCGAATGAATGTTTGGTAACGGTAGTTGATTGAGGTCTTAATAGACTTTCAACATTTGTTCGTGTACGTTTTCGATCTGGTAATACGTCGGATGATGCAGTACCAGGAACATAATCATTAGTTGGTTTAAGCTTTATTCTGTCAGAATACAAGCGCGAAGATATTCTATTATAGTATCCGGAACTAAAAGAGGAACTATAAATGAGAGACAGTAGAATGAGCAGATCGGAAAGTCAGAAGATTAGATAGTCATCGGTTGACTTTTGAATGTTGTAAGCATAAAGTGACTGTCGGAATAAATTCTGTTCTTGGACAGCTATGATCAAGAGTGCAACTGGATAATTAGTTTGCTGCACTTAGGGTTTTACACAGCTCTTTGTCGTGCATTTTACTCTCACAATAGTTTTCTGTTTCTTTGCAACCGCTGCTTGAATAGTTCTGAAAAGCGTTGCACGTGTGAGCAGACATAACAAAGAATAAAACAGACAGATCTTCTATTTCCTCATTTTTTTCTTACTTTTGTATTCTCAAGCAAAGCAGAAAAAAGTTGACATTTATTTCAAAGAGATTAATTTCTAATTATTTCAAGTTATAATTAGAAACTTTAATTTAGCACTTATTTTCAGGCCGAAGATTAAAACTAAAATTTTTATCCACATTTTGGTTTGTAGTGTAAAAGGTAACCGGATCCGACCCGCCGCTAAGATCGGGTCGCATTGCAGATCTCTAGTTACTTATTGCTATTCTCACTATCATTATTATATGTATATATCATTATTATATTACATTTATTATACTTAACTTTTTCTCGTGCTTTCAACGTAAAGCAATGTTTCAATCATTTTTATTTAATATATATGGAACGATTGTAAGTCATATGTGTCGATTGAACTCAGAGCCTACTTAAGAGCCAACAAAATACTTCTCTGTTTTCATCCGTGAACTGTGCTTAGAAACACCCCGACTGGGGGAGAGTGGATTCTTTCCTTACTAACTCTTCACTTCTCTACTAAAAAAATATTTAACACCATCAGAATTAGATAGGTTTTTGCCAGTCATGAACATCTATTTTCACGTAAAAGTCACAAAATTGACTCAAAAATAAAAACTAACTGCAAAATCGACTGTTCGGCTTGTCCAGCTAACTGGAGACTTCGTTGATTAAGGTTTTGAAAAAATTCGTTTAGCGTAGAACTAAAAGGAGCATATCACTAGATGCAGTTTCTGGTGCTGATTACGAATCTCACATTAATTTTATTTAGAAAAGTTAAATTTTGTCATCAAAAATCCAGTTTTACATTTTTTGAAAACTGTATTTTCAGTTTCCTCATCTAGGCACTTTTCCTAATAAAAATGGAAGGCCACACTAATCGATAGAGAATTCCATTTTCTACAAGATGGTAGGTTTCTTTTGAAGGTTAGACTCAAAACAAGATTTTTAATAAAGTTTTAAGTTTTAAGATTCTCACACAATTCTAAGAAAGTGAAAACATGTTTTCAGCTTTATTGTCACGTTAGTCTATATTAGATGACTAAAACTAAGTGTGAAAACGAAATCCTTTGAGCAATGTTTAGTGCTCCAAACTTTGTTGGGAAAAAAGTGTGTCACAGCGTCACGACGATAAAACACAATTATTGAGGAATGGAAAGCTCATTAGAAAGATTCTTTTCCAGCAGTCAGTAGCTCATTTACTCCTCTACAAACTTTGCCTGAGGTGCTTTTTATTAGCTCTTCTAAATTCGCAGCAAATTAGGTTTTAATGAGAAGAACTTCGAGTTTAGGGTCTTTTCTTGTCACAGCGTCACGCGCCGAAAAACGGTTCTAAAAATTCGAGTCTTTAACCACATACCTTCATTTTTATACCAAAAGTAGAGTATGACGAGCTGCGTCGAATGGCGCAAGAACGAAGTTTCTAGCTGTTACACGTTTTGAGAAAAGCTCAAATTACTGTGTCAAAAATATCACAGCATCACGCTTGGACAACCCGTGTTTTGAGATAGAATCTATGAGCTAAACATCATTTCGAATATTTGTATCAATTACTCTGGTCTCGATGGCCGAATATTCGTATGAATCAATTTGTAGAGCTCAAAGAGGTAATCCAAAGTAATGTGTGAGAATCAAAAATAAATATTTCTTGTAGCAAGTGATGGAATTTGTTCTTTGACTCTACAATATTCTCAAACATCATTTGTCTAGAAAACGTCGGGTTCTCCTTCGACAAGAGTTAATGGGCATTTATGTAATTTTGTTTATAGAGAAAAAAGGATAAAATAGCGTAACCGGACATTTTTTGCCATAATCAAACGGTATTTCAGTATTATCACTTGCTAAAGGAAACATTTGTGCCATTCATACTTTGAGTTACTTCTACAGATTGACTGCTTTGTCAAGATCTATCAATAAGTATTAGTTGTCATTCGATTAGGTAATTGATTCAAAGTTTATTCATTTCTTTATTTCAAATTGATGCAGACATTGGAGTCAATTTTGTGTTGTATTCTTAGTAAACTCTTTGCTGTTGTTTTTCACGTATTCCTAATTCTGTTGGTTTAGTTTTACGTTTTTTATTTGAATATGATTTTTGAGACGTTGTAGAACGTTTACGACTGAAAGATGATATAGACATAGGTGGTGGAATTATAGGAGCAGAATCTTGCTCTGATTCTAAATCCCAAGATGAATAAATAATCGAAGACAAACTAAATTCTCTTGCTCGATCTAACCTGCAGGATATTCAAATGGTTTTATTCCCAACGCTTTTGCATATTCTTCTCCATAATAAACAAATAATTCTTCTCCAGCCTCGATGTCTCTTAATGTTTTATAATACAGTTCTCCATTAAATTGAACAGCCATTAAATTTTCATTTTCTTGTTTATTTGGACAATTAACGTATCGCAACCAATTCGATCGTCGTGGATCATTGGCATCAACGTAGTTATAAACATTTCCCTCAATATCTTCAATTGTCCACGCATAACCAGAATCATTTGCTCTGTCATTTGAACGATGTTTCACACCTGTATACGGTCCAAAAAATGTATTTTTCTTAAATTTTTTTAATGCAAATGTACCGAGACCAGCATCAGGTATTCCGCTTGTTGTTACAATTATTCCAATCGGTACGGTATGTTTGGCATGATCTGACTGTTTAACCAATAGATAATACGGTACCTTAAATAAATGTATACTGTTCAACGGGTTATTTAAGTATTAAGAAAAAAGAATTACCTCTCGATTATCGATATATGATTGGCAGCCCGATGGGCATAAACCATTACTATACTTTTTACATTCATCACAATCTTTAAGAAAAAATACTATAGTTTGAGATTATTAAGATTTTATAGTTATACCATTAAACCTACATAAATAATCATCTCCGAGTACACATTTTCTCGGTCTAACACTTCTGCTTCCGAAACTCTTCTTCGAAGAAATTGGACTTATCGTCTTTCTACGTGAGTTTGTTGATCGTTCAGTTCCTTCTAAAACACGAAAAGATCTTCGTTATGGAATTCTCCATACTATTATCAATTGAACCATTATAATGCTACTTGTCCTCGGTAGTACCAACGTGTCTTTCTTACCGGGCGAAAAAATCGAAAACAGAGTTTTTATGTTCACTTTGTAGATCGCGATTTTCCAACTTTTGACATCCACTGTTTTACAAGGATTTGCCTGACTGCAACAGCGTTGACCCACAAGAAAGAGTGTCAAAAGTTGTACAAGTGGTGCAATTTGCAAGTCTCTAGAACATACCTAAGTAGGAAAAAATTACAATATATCGCGAAATGTAGATCGAGATTACTCTAAAAGTTTTTTTCAGTTCTTTTAGTCAAAAACCAAGTTATAACATCAATTTTGACTCCTTATATTCTGCTGAACCTATCTATCCATAAATTTATGTAGTTTTGATGTCGAGTTTCTCCAAAGTGGCTGATCACCTGTAGGCTACAAGGTTTGCGTTTTATTTTTGAATACACATTCGAAATTGGGGTTTTAACGATGTAACGTTTGCTGCGCAGGTCAGACTAAGTTACATATGGTATGAATCGATAGCTCTCTACGAGACCTATCGAATGATATATCCGCTTTTAAAGCAACCTCGAGATCATTATAGCCTAAAACCTAGAGAATGGAACCTGCCGAAGTTTGTTGAGGGTTATCTCAGTCGCTACGCATGTGAGTCGGGAAATTTGGGTTCTGGACTCAGAAAACAACGGAGAACAAGATGTGCTAATCAAATTTTGTTTAAAGTCATTTTCATTATTTTTCACCAATTGTACAATAAAGTTGCAAATGACTCATATATTATAATCATCAAGTCAAACGGATTGAGAGAGTGTTTATTCCCTTATGAGATGATTGTTCTTCTCGCAATGCACATTAATTTTTGAACGAAAATAACACGATAGTGTGTACTCTTTCGAACAACATTTTATATAGTTTAGGTAGCCGAAAACAGTTTATTCCAACAGTAAAAGTTTTGGAGGAAAATTTGTTGAGATATAAAAGATATTTCTTTGAATAAAGGATCTTCGTCGAGTTCATATGGTTCTACACAGAAATTTGCATTCTTTATATCAAATCAGGATATCTAAAGCTACGATCAATACCAATTCTATGTTTGTTCACTCATTTACTTACTCGATGGTCTATCAAGGTCAATCATTGATGAATCCAACGATTACGATAAGAAATGATATTGTAATATTGTATTTTTTTTAAAAAAAATTAATAAGCTTATTTTAACTTTTTTTCCTATCTTATATTCTGCGAGTGTGAATGATCCTATTTTGATATATGTTGTTAATAAAAAAATAAAAAATTTAATTAGAACAAAAATATGATTTCGAACACAAAATTTGAAGTTTTTATTACCATTTTCATAATACTAAGTGTAGTAACGAATTCTAACGAGCCGATTTGTAGGCGCCAAGGCAAAAGACAGATTTGACCGAACCAGTTTGGATTGTTTACCTTGGAATCTCTTTTGTTTGACTTTCGGTTTGTGCCATTTTATAGGGTAAAGATTTTTCCACAAAATTTTATACTTAAAATAGTTTTTATGTTAAAAGAACATCGTTACTCTTTTCGTTTGCAGAAAGTTTCAAATGCATTTTTACTCATTTTGCATTTCACGTTTAAAGTGACTCTCCATTGAAAGGTTATAACTCTCTTATCCTAGATATTTCTACAAATAACAATGTACTTTTGTAGAAAAATTTTCGGACTACAGAAAATTTTATATGAAAAAATATCTGTTCAGGCCACTCCAGAAAACTGATTTGTTGTCTAGTGTGCACTACAGTTCGCGCTTTATCCTAAGATTTTGATGATGCAATCACCGCTTAGCAACGCATTATGCCAAACGCTTTCTGAACATACACCTAGAAAGATCTTCCAATGGTGATTCTAAAACATCTATTTTTATTTTCCCAAACAGTTTTATATCTTAGAAAAACGCTCAAACATTCAACAGGACAGACATTTTTTTCAAGGCTTTAAAATAAGCATTTGCTGCTAGGGAGCAAAACGCAACTGATACTGTCTAAGCACATAATTACATAAAATTTTGAACGGCAATTGTGTATCACCTATTCTCGTTTCATGAAAAATTTTTAAGACACAGAAAAGGTGCGTGGACATTTTGTCCAAGAATTTTTGATCCATCCGTTAAAGCACAAGAAAAGATTTACGACGTTTCTTATCTGCACTTACTGTTACTTTCCATTGATCGTTCTTCGCAATACAAACGGATTTCTAAATAAGTATTCTTAGAAAAACCAAACTAAAACGGGTTTTGTTTTTTAAAAAGAAAGAAACGAAGCCATGTGTTTTTTCTCTCTCGCAAAAATGTGGACGTGTTCTTTTCCGTTTCAAAAAGTCAAACGCTAAAAACCGATGGAAATGATTCCTCTTTCATGACTCATCGGAAAAAAAGGTATGATTTTATGCCATCCAGCTACTTTTACAAATAAAATTCAGTTGTATATCTCTGTAAACAATAAGTGGAAAAGTTTCTTCAATTAGAATCGATCTGTGATGTCTCAATACTGAGTATATTTGTTTCTATTCTATGAGTACACAATTCAAATCTGTCATACACGGTGTTTTTGTAGCTATGAACTGTTCTGTTCCTTCTATGTAGAAGAGTGGATACCAGAGTTGCCAGATGGTCCGCATTTTGCGGACAAAGTCCGAGTTTTTTCTGCAGTAAACTCGTATTTTAAACATTTTCTGCTTTTGCTATTTTTCCACCCAGTTAAAAATTCGTTTGAACCCATCGTTATCATGCACTGAAATTTATAATTATTTCTTATCAACGGCAGAACTGCTTAAACTTATTCATTCTAATAAAAAATATACAGTCAAAAAACAACGTATCAATTACAATCAAGATTTACATTTTTTGTTTTGTTCTCTTGTATTTTATTGAGTAAAATCACTGGAAGTGCTGAAGAAAACATTCTTTTGATTCTCTGCGCGTGAGGAAGGATGAAATTAGACCATGACAATGTATTTTTATTTTTTTCGCGCATTTCTGATCTGAGCATCTGGTGGATACATCTTCAAGCAAATAGTAGTTCAGTTTTGATTCAGACCATGTACCTTTCAAATAACAAGAAAATCCTTCTATTTTTTAAGTTATGACATACGTTAATAAACAAAACGATATCTCTAACAGTTTTCGATCCTGATCCCGAATATGATATTTTTATTACATAGAAGTTGAGTCCTGATTGAGAAAATTGAGAATTGTTCAGTTTTTTGACACCAAAAATGATTTAAAACGGATTTTTGATATAAAAAAAGCCAAAAAATTAAAAAAGCGGCTCGGACAATCGATAGAGCTCGAAAAGTTCTATCGAATGGTATATCACATGATTTGCTTCCATTTGTTCTGACATTAGGAAAATTTACTTTGTCCACTAGAGTGCTAGTAATTAGTGCTAACCAGAACTAACTAATAATTAAAAAACGGTCAGAGATATCGTTTCTCAACTTTTTTGGTATGAAATTATATCTAAAAGCAATTCGCTATAAAACTACATTACAATCAATTGAATATAACATTTATATCGAAAACTAGAAAGGTTTTAAAAGATTCCTCTCAAACTAAAAATTTCAATTAATTTTGAACTTAATTAATTAATAACTCTGTCAATACTTGACCAACGAGTTTTTTATTGCATAGGCATACCATCAAAGATGTTGTCTACAAACTGGCCAAACTCGAGTGCATGTTTGGGGGGGAGGACACCCCTCCCCTTAACGGAGGAAACATGATCTGATAAAAAAAAATGGTTCGATATAATTTTGAGTCGATAATGAGTGGAAATGATTGTGAAAACTGTACCTTTAATTTTGTAACATACTTTAATCTTGAATAATTATTGATTATGGTTTATCTACAGTTCGAAGAATGTCGCTATTTTCTGACTCTTGCTTAAAAAAAAGCAGATAGTAGATCATGTTTTCTTTTTTAATTTTCTTGATTTTAGTTCAGCTTTTTCAGAATAAAACGTTTACATGAAAAAAAAATGACAAATTTTCTGGATTTCAAAATGATGTATAAATGTGTAGTTGCAAGTCTACTGGACTGAAACAATTGTATCAATATAAATCAAGTAGTGTCATATAACGAATGTGTTGATAAATGGAAAATATCAGACAAAATGCTAAGATTTTAATAATTTTGCAACAGTACACAAATACTTTATGAATATTACTCTATTACAAAAGACAGAGAAAAACATACAGCAGGAATAATAACAAAAGCAACGGCGATTACATATTATTATTCTGAGTGGAGTCAAAAATAGATGAAACAAATGGTAAATAATATTCAAGTGTACCAATAGGAATATACATAACTCATTATTGTCAACATCGTAAAAAAAAAATGTTTTAGTAAAACAAAAACATAAAAACTTTGTGAATGATAAAGTATTTTAAAAACTTGATCATAACTTTAAAATAACAGATTTTAAAATATTTTAGATTGTCATCATGATTTTTAATAAATATCAGATCTTTTTAGAATTTATTCTAAAACTAACATACAAGAAAACAATTTTACATTATCTATTGACACATTAAAGATGAACAAAGAAAATACTGTAAGTATAAACTTAATTATTATCTAAAAGTAATGAATTATGATTTTAAGAAAAAGATTCTTTTTTACAACGGAATACATTGAACAACGATAATTTTAAAACAAAAATAACGATTTTACTCAAATATTTTAGAACAAAATTTTGAGATTATATCATCGTTAAATCAAAAAAAAGAAAAAGAATCTAGAACAAAATATTTTTTTTCTTATCAAATGCAAATGTTAGATGCATTATAGAAGTTATACATTTTCAATTTTTTCGAAACCAAAAAACAAAAAACACGTTACTTCAATACATTCTTGTCTAATTATTTTTCTATTTATCTCAAAATGTGACAATAAGATAAATATATAAATATAAAATGTTATAAATATTTTTTAACAGTTAAACAATCAATAATTTTTTACATTTAGAATGATTATTTACGTTTTTAAAACGCACGAATTTTTTACATAAAAATAAAATATACAAATCTATCTAATTATCAACAATATTTATCAATCTACAAAAAGAGAAAAAAAGAAAAAAAAAATATTGCCTAGAAAAACCGTATGCATCTCCTGTACAATAAAAAGAAGAAAAATAAACAAAAAACAATTCTTTCCTAATTTAGGTGTGAGCATTCTCGTCTGGAAAAATAATACTACCTAAAATAAAATAAATAAATAAAATAATGCAATAGATTATTTCATAAACTATCAGTGGAATTGCACGATAAATGACAGAGCGTTCAAAACTGAAAAATACTTTTGTCATCAGATATGGCTATGCTTTTTGATTCTTTTTGAACTAGCTCAAGAAACTTGAAAATAACATACTATGATGAATATAAAAAAATATATATTTTATTTGGCGTGGACGTAATGTGTCTTACGAGGGAACGTCCTGAAGTGCTAAAAACCTTTTTGAATGGGACTATTTTTAATATGTAGGCCCTCCTGATGGGCTATGGAGAACCTTAACTTGGTTTGGGCGCACTCAGCTTTGTTGCTGAGATACCGAATTTTTACTCGACTTTTCCCTCATGGGCCTCGGATTTCAAGCAAAATCAGAGTTTTGAATTCCATGTTGAAACTTATCACATATTGTAGCCCAGACCATTTGTAGTCCGATGAAAAGAGGTCGAGCTGAAAACCTCTTTACACTGCAGTGAAAGAACTTTTTCCATATGCGTACCAAAAGTAAAACATGGAGCAAGTTTTAAAAAAATTCAGCAGAAAGAGGTTTTCAGCTCGGCCCTCCTTTTTTGGACTACAAATGGTCTGAGCCTCAATATGTGATAAATTTCAATATGAAATTCAAAACTCCGATTTTGCTTGAAATCCAGGTCCCATGGGGGAAAATTCGAGTAAAAATTCGGTATCTCAGCAACAAAGCTGATTGCGCTCAAACCAAGTTAAGGTTCTCCATAGCCCATCAGGGCCTGCATTTTAAAAATAGTCCCATTTCATAAAGTTTTTAGAACCTCAGGCGGTTCCCTCGTTAGTACTGTTTTTTTCATAAATCTCTGTCAATTGTTGTTCAATTACAAAAAGTCTTAAGTCAGGCTCAAGCAGGGAAATGCCTAGCATCTCACAGTAGGAGGGCCTGCTAAAAAAACATTTTCGTTCTTCTAAAAACAATAATTTTTTGAAGAGCGAAAGACACAAAACGGAAACTTTTCTGAAAGCAGGGGATAGTAACCCCTCTCCCCACCCCTGGGTTTAAGTCACAGTTAAGTCTTCATCTTAGATTCAAACCGTATTACAAAAGACTTAAGTCATGGAAAATGTAGTCTTAAAGTTAAGACCGAGAACTTAAGTCATTGACGCATTTTTCGAATAGCTCACACATTTAGCGATACGATTCAACGAAATTATTAACCTTAAGTTTCCCGGACTAAACCGGACCTAAGTCGGTCTTAAACTTAGACTTAAATCACGGTTTAAGTCGATGAGTTACGTTATTTTTTTGTAATACTATTCTTTGACTATCCCAAAAAAACGTTAGCGGCAAAAGTTTAACAAAAAATGTAAAAAAACTAAATAGTCTTTTCGCATATGTCACTGGAGAAGAACTTTCATAAACAAAATTTAAAGAATTTAAGGGTATTACTAAAAGACGCAAGACTACACTTCCAAATTAAAACCTGAGTTAACCAATCGATAGAGCTCGTCGCACTAAGTATAGAAACATCTAACGAACACCCAACAAAATTTTTTTATAGTTGCGCCTTTTTAACCATACATTTCCAATAAACACTCACGAACACCCAAAAAAGGCTGCCCAATCCATCTTCTGATTGTTCTGAGTCTATAAAGGCCTTTATTCCATATTCTAGTTCACTTTTCAACGCTGAACAAGGATATTTGAGTTTGAACGTTCCAAGTTGTAACCAAAGTTAGAAAAGTCAAATTTAAAAAAGGGCGTGAAAACCGGGTTTTTGACTTCTTTATAGTATTTTACAATTTTCTCAGCGAGGAAACGGTTTTGAGAGGCCGGGAACACATATTCGTGATCAGCGCGCGATTCTCTATCGAATGGTGTGTGAAATATAGAAAACTAAATTCTACTCGATCTTTGCCTTACGTGCATCTTACTATTTTACCTTAAATATAGAGCTGTTTATAATTCTAACGAGTATTACTAGATTCAGAAATCCATGTGTAGAGTAATTTTAGCATAGTTTATAAACTCTTATTCCCTTTAGTGCACGCTTTATTCTTCTTAGATCTGAAACAGCCTATAATTGGAAGGCCAATCTTAATTAGAAATTGAACAAAGAACTTTTAAATAATTCACTTTGCACAATTGCACTTTTGTAGAGAAGTTTACGGGCTTTCTTATGATATATAATATGTCGAGATATTTTTACTGTGAAGTTCCAAAAAGGCGTGTAACTGTAGTTATGTCATACCTGAAAGAGTAAATTATTTTCAAGAATCCTTAATGACATTTTGTTCACGTTGAAAGTGGTACCAGTAGGAGAACAACCTGGAGATGAATTAAGCATACTTTTTTTGGGTGTTCGTGAGTCTTCATTGGAAATGTATGTTTAAAAAAGCGCAACTGTAATAAACTATATATTCGTTAGATGTTTCTATACTCAGTTCGACGAGCTCTTTCGATTGGTTAACTCAGAGTTTAAGCTGGGGATATTCTCGTCTCTATCCAGAATTTAAGGAGAACGATTTTTGAACAAAAGTTATAATTGATGTAACTGTATGTAATTTCATTATTAATATTAAGTAATGGATGACTACAAAAATAGAGAAAGAGAAAATAGCTGTTTTAATTTCACTCTTACTTGTTCATGAAATTAAAAACTATATAGTTATTGTATTTATACATGTGTAATGATGACATTTGTCAACAATTTCGCTCTTTCTCTATTTTTGTAGTTATAAAGCTTATTTCTCTTTATTGTTTAATAAATGATCGTACACATAGAGCGAAATATTACTTCAAATAAAAGGGTATAACGACCTCATTCATTGCGTATCATCAACAGACAATGAAATTCCATATAAGAACTGTCATTATTTCAGTTCAATTAATGCATCGTTTTTGACGATGTTTTTATGAACACGTTTCATGTGAACGTTTTTTCTGATAAATTTTTCGAATGAATGCATTTTAACAAACAGATAATTGAATAGTTATTTTGTTTTTTTCCATGTGGGAACAATTTTTCTACATAATTAAAAAAATTTTCAAGCTTCAGTTAACAGCTTTCAGCTAGCCTAATTGTCCTGTTTCTCTCTAATCGGATGTTGTTAGAAAGCATGAATGGCTGAGGAAATAGATTTAATTTAACTTTTTGAATCATCTCATATAAATAGCACTCTTCTCTAGTACTGCACTCTGTACATGTTTATGTCTAACCGGTGGCGCAAAATGAATTATAGTCTCACTATTTTCAAGTTTTCTCCTTCTTCTTATAATTAATTCAGCAAATTTTTGATACTAAAAGATAGCCCGTTCAATTCTCTACAAAATATGTATGAGTGAATGGCATAATTATTGTACCGTTTAGAAAAAAATTCTCAAAAAATAAGTTGCTTACAACAATATGTTTCATAGGTCGGATTAAGTTTTACTACGTCAGGTGTTAATCAGAAAACCTTTTTACCAACACTTCACTTTATACTCAAAATAGAAAAAAAAGTACGTTTTCAGCATCAGATCACACTCAGTTTCCGAGGTAATTCAGAAGAAATTCAGTGATAGTTGAGAAAAGTAATAAGTATTATACATCAACAAATGTATCTTGATGAGCCAAATCTGCCGATGCAGCTCTTAAAACTTTATCCCCTAGATTTTTTTCGATAAAAAATGCCGAAAAGATTCATGTGTAACCAAAAGGTAAGTTTTATCAGCCATAACTTGCGAAACAAATAGTTTTGACCTTCGCGGTTGAATAGTGCACATTCAGACAAATCGAATGATGTATAATAAATTGAATTTTGTTTCTATTCTCACTGACAAGTTGTCAATGACAACTAACATTTAGAAATCTCACCAGACATTTCTTTCTTAAAAATCTCACAAGACATTTTCATGTAGTTTTTCAAATTTCTCTTTGACGATGCAATATTTTGTCCATTTTTTTTTACTAAATATCAAAGCCCATGAGATTTGAAAATGATTAAAGTTTCTACAATTTTACATCATTTGATTTTAGACACAGGTAAAATTCTAATTAGAAAAAAATCTGATATTTGCTCTGTTGTGCACTTTGAAATTTATGTTCAGTCAGATTTTCAGAGCGTAACGTAGAGAAAGATGTGGCCTACAAAATAAAAAAACAATAATATCTCATGAAAGACTAGATATATTGGAAAAAATCCGTTTTTTTTTAGTAAACGGCTTCACAGACCAACCAACGCCGAAATGCAAGAGTTATATCTTGTAAACTATATGAGACTAAAGATTGACTTCCAGCGCTGTAGTAGGCCTAGTTCAGAAAAACAAAATAAAAAAAAATTTTAAAATTGCTTTACCACAAGAAAACTTATCCTCTTTCTACATGTAGAAAATGACTATGTCATTCACTTGTATTTACTAATTTATTGCAAAATCCAAAGGTGGAAAATGAGATGAAATATCCTATAAAGTACAGAAATGGAGAAAAAAATAAGTTAGACAACTGTCTTTTAGTTTTATTCGCTAAACATTCGTGAGAGGAAGACAAGCTGAAGTAGCCATCGTGTAACGTTAGGAAAGCTCTATCTTCCACTTATAATTAAACATTGTTTATAGTTAGAACTGAGGTTGTAACAAATATTTTTTTCTAAAAATGATAATTTTCGACCAGAAATTTGCTTCATTCGATAAAACAAGTATAATCTAGTCAAATTTCGTCCTTTGAGGTTGAATTTTTTCCAATTTGAAGATAGGCAAAGTTATATTGTTGGATAGGTAAGATTTCGTTATTATTACACGCAGTTAAGAGCCAAACCGTTTGCTGTTTTCGTCCGATTTCCGACAAATTAATCTCTAAATCGGATATTTTCACTTAAAACAAATTTTGTTGCATACATTAAATGGAGTACACTTGAAACTACACAAAAGTGTACTCAAATCGCGTTCTTATACTTGTGAAACTATTTGAAAAAATTTAGCTTAAACAAAAAAGTAGTTACACCCTCAGTTGTAACTAAAAACAATTTTTAATCATAGATAGAAGATAGAACTTTTCAAGGGTTACACGATGGCTACCTCAGCTTGTCTTCCTCGCACGAACGTTTAGTGAATAAAACTTAAAAGGCGGTTATCTAACTTATTTTTCTCCTCCATTTTTGTACTTCATAGGATTTCTCATCTCATTTTCCACCTTCAGATTTTTCAATAAATTAGTAAATAATATATTTTGTAGAGAATTGAACGGGCTATCTTTTAGTACAAAAATTTGTTCAATTAATTATAAGGAAGAGAAGAAAAATTGAAAATACTGAGACTATGGTGGCCATCCGGAAGGTCTAAATGAAAAAAAATAAACGTTGTAGCTGATATTTCTTAACTCAAAAATTAGATAAAAATTCTAATCTTTACTATGTCTAAAGAATTATCATTAAAGATATCAATGCATAAAAAAAAAAGAAAATCAGAAAACCGAGAAATATTTTGAATAGCAAATGAACAGAAAGAGCAAGGTCATATAAAATTTAATAAAAAAATAATAAAATTAAAATTACTGTCGATATATCGTTCGACGTTTTGAATCAATAGATAAATATTTCAAGAACATATCTCTTTTCTTAAAATAACTAATTGATAGCTAGAACTGTAAAAGTTCCTGTTATTTCTTCGGCCCTTATTGACAACGGTAACTAGAAAAACAGTTGCCGTTAAAGTAACGATAACTGTCTTTTCAGTTAGCGTTAAATTAATGCAATGGCAACTTTCAGAATCCTACTGTTAGCTTTAAAATTCAGAATTTTGTCTATTTTTAAACAGACTTTTCATTCTACGATTATACTCTAATTAGAAAATATATTACTTACAAATTTCCGTTATTCAAGTAACTATTTACACAGATGTCATTGTTATTTGTTTATACGTTGCCTATAAAAAATAATCAAATCACAATTTTAAAATTATATCTCTAAAAACAACAACAACAACAATATGTTGTACTTACTTTATTTTTACTTGTTTCCACATCGCTATTCTGTTGATGTACCGTTGGTTTTTGATCTGATCTTACTTCATATTTTCGAGATTTTTTCTTTTGAGATACTTGTTTGACTTTTTTTTTAATTACTCGACGTAATCTAAAGAAGATATTTGATTTTTTGATCATCCATAATCAACATATTCTATTGAAGATTACAATAGGAGACAATAAAAAAAATATCAATATACTTTGGATATGTTGTGGCTATAAATGTTTGTAAACAATTGCTGAAACAACCATCATCAAATGGATTCATATTATTCTTAAATTTTCCAGTTACCTAAAATGAAAATAAAGAATTTTCTTGATAAATATATCATTTTTTTTTTTATCAAGATAATATCTATACATACTTGTTCATTTGTTGTTTTTCCTTTTGCAATTAGAACAAAATGAAATCCAGTGAGTCCACAAATGGGTATTGTTAAAAGAACAATAAAAATCATAAGTACAATGGACATAATTGTTCTTAATTCAGTTAAACGATCACGATTCAAAGATAAATAATAAAATGAAAAACCAAATACAACAAACATGTGTAATAAGACAGATATCAAAAATTGAATAAAATAACGATAATTACGACGACCTGAAATAAAAATAATAGAAAAATAAACAAATAAACGTAATTAATACATGATTTTTCTAGAATAGGAAAAATTCTGTGACTCAGTAATAATCCAAAATTTCTGTGATCAATAAGTAAAATGCATATAGCTTCATATTTTCAAGAGCATCAACAACTACTGCGATAGGACACTTTTTCTTAGCTTAGACAAAAAAAACCCAAACTTTTGGGTCATTTATCTGGATGTACATAGAGTTGAATCTCACTAAAAAATGAAAAATTTGGGTTATTTTTTGTTTCAGTTGCCTATATAACATATGACTTTACGTTTAGTGATCACATACAGTTTTTTTCTGACTCATTGAAGAGAAATCTCAAATTTTTGAAGATGTTTGATGTTTTTTGAACTTTATGGATAAGTTCTGATCATAAAAACCCAGTGTACTTTAATACTTTTTCATAGAAATCGATAGTCATGTATTTTTGCATAAAATTTTGTTCAAATAGACAAGAAACTACGGCAAAATCAGCGCTATAAATCACAACTATCTATCACTCATCGATATTGAACGACAAAAAAGAAGCGTGCTATGCTGATAATTGTTCGAGTCAGTGTATTGATTAATAGTATTGTCTCACACGAACGTGACTTCTAACTGTGTCAAAATTTCTCTCTCATACTACTGTAATTAAATGTAATTAATTAATGAACACAACTGTAGATTAGTTTTATTGTTTTACATAATCAATGACACAGCAAAATAATCAGGTTTTCAAAAGAATAAATGCATTTTTTTTCCATAGAAAAGAGGTAAAAAACTTTCAAATACGAATAGATACATACCGACACAATTATTCAGCCAGGGACAATGATGATCAAATGTCTAAAATAAACAAAAAACTTTACAGCAAACAATAAATCTTCATGATTGTACTTATTCCAAATCTATTAAAACTACAGACTTTTGCAAAATCAATATTCAAGAAGCTGAGAATCTTCTGCTTCTCACTCTACACCGGAAAAGGTAATGAGTCTAACCAATTAACTCTGAGGATTGCTAATCTGTCTTAGAAAAGTAACATCCACATGCCAAAACCAAAGGGAGAGTAAAAGGAGTAGATAACTGCAAATATACTTCTTTTGTTGGATTATACTTCGGAATAAAAATTAAAAAAAACTGAAAGCTAAGATGATAGATAGAAAAAGAAGTCTATATAATAAGTTCACGTTTCTAGTTACAGATGAACGAGTTTCTATTAAAATAGATTCATATCTATATTTTAGTCTCCTGATCAGTTTGCTAATGTGCTATCAATGTGACACAGATAATAGAACATAAAACATCATTTTAAACTCACGTCTATACAAAAATCACAAATGGAGCAATGTGAACATCTTGGTGGTCGATAAAACTGACATGTTTGACACCATTTCATTCGCCCAGATGTGCCACGAATTTCGACTAAAACCAGAGAAAAAAAAAAATGTTATTGATCTTCTAAAAATAATTTCCACTCGTTGTCTACTGAATGTACTAAAATCAAAATTACCCAAATACAGAGTATGTCTCTGCATTTAGAGTACTGTTGCAAATTTTTTAAATGAAACATCGACTAAATGGTAAAATGTCAGGTATCAAATTACTGAAAAATTTTCATTAAGATATCGTGAATGTTTTAGTCAACTTAAATACGTGAAAATATGTTGTTAGAGTGCCCACAGTAAGTAACTAGTTCGTACCTTTAAACACTCAAATTACTGAAAGATGTTTCACAGCCATCCAAAAAGAGTCTTAAGGTATCCAACTATCCAAAAATGTCTTAGATAATTTTGATATTGTAGGTGGCAGGATACCTTTGAAGTTTGTGCAATGGGTAAACATATGCGCATCAACTTAAAAGCTGATGTTTTATCTAATAAAAAAGACTTCTTATGCAATCAAAGTATCGAACTGTAATGAATGAAAAAAATCTGATAATGATCATATACCTGTTTTATAATATGTTGATTCTTGATCGTTTTCATATTCTTCTACGAGTGCTCGATCATATTTTCCCGGATCCATAAATGTTGCCAAAACAAAATTAGTACAAACAAAATAAAATAATATACCATGTGCAATAGGAATCAACACTGTTTTCGTAATGGAAGGACAAATAAATAAAAAATAAATTGTTGATAATGATAGAAGAAGACACCATGAGACCATTGAAGGCAACAAACGTTTGACGGTCGATGCAAAACGAGAACAACATAATTGAGACTTTGATTCAGACATCTAAAAGAACATAATCAGTAGAATGATCCTATTGATAATATAAATAGATATTCAGAAATAGATGTCATAACATATTTTTCACCTAAAGGAAACAAAATGACAAAATACAACTTTTTCAGTAAGAGTAAAAATGTTCCAGATCATTACTATTCTAGAGAAAGAGAGAGAGAGAGAGAGAAATCGGTCAAGCTGACACCGTAAAAAGTATCACTCCAAAAGCATAAGATGCAGTAAAAGAGTAACATCAATCGTACAGGATACAACATTTTTTCCTGTTGCATTTTTCAAAAAACCAAATCTTAGCACTATAACCTCATAACAAAAAACGATAAAATCATTGTGTAATACATTTTTAGGAAACGAAAGAATATTCTGTAATATGATATTTCTATGATCTGAATCCTCTTAAGGGATGAGCAATATTGTTCAATCTTCTAATGAAATGTGCAAAATGAAAAAGTCTTAATAAAATTATAATGAGGACGCAATTTTCTTTTGAATTTTTTTGTAAAATCAGGCTTCATAAACATCGTACTTTAGGAATTTTATTCTACATTTCCTACATTTTCTAATAATTTTTACATAAAAAGATTCAGTTGTTCTAGATTTTTATAAATTTTCACTTTATTAGTAACATCATGATGTATGACTTTCATGTGATTACTATTCTGATATGTTGAGCTCTCTCTGTTACTTTCGTTGAAAAGAAAAATCATGCATTCTATTGTGAAGGTACCTTTTTAGTATCAAACATAACATTCAAAATATTAAAATCCCAGTTTTCAAACCTTCTTCACTAGTTATATACTTTCTTTACTCTCCCATTTGTGAATATTACTCCTGTAAAACAGATTAGCAATTCTCAGAGAGCTTATTGAATACTGATTTTGCAAAAACTGTAGTTCTAATAGACTTAAAATCAAGGCAATCATGAAGATTTATTGTTTACTGTAGACATTTGATTATCATTGTCCCTGGTTGAATAATTGTGTCGTTATGTATTTGTTCATATTTGAAAATTTTTCTACCTATTTTTTTTCATATCATATTGAACAAAAAAATCCGTTATGGATTAAAACAAAACACACTAATATATTTTCCGCATATGAGTCTGTCTTCTCTTTAAGACTTTATCTTAAAGAAAAGACAGACTCAAAGTATCTTCTCTCTAAGACTTATTGGTTTCGTATACTACAGGGTATTGCATAACCTTTTTCCAGGGAGGGTAACGACGTGATTTTAAAGTAGGTACCTAATGAATTTTATACCAAATGAAAGCCCATAAAAAACTGGATCTAGGACTATAGTTAACAATTCAATAGATGCAGATAGTCAATCCAAATTTTAGACGTATAAGTATGCACTATTTTTTTCTTAATTAATGTGGGTTATCACAGATAATGGTGCATCATGGGATGAAACTTATTATCGACACCGTATTTTGACAGAAGTAATTCCATTCCTTTCGAACTCCGAAAATGTATTAGATCCAGCAGAAGTCGTTTATCTTCATGACAACGCTCCATGTCACAAAGCAAATGCCACTCATCAATTGCACAAAAACTCTGGAATCGATTTCTCTGACCGAACAGAATGGCCAGGCAGTTCTCCAGATCGAATGTGGCGGAAAATGTTGGATCAATTTTAATGGGCAAAGTAGAAAGTCTGATGATCAGCGAACGCGGTCCGACAAATTCTTCAGTCGTTTTGCTTAAACATCTTCAAAATGTTCTTCGTAAACTTGAAAATGAAAAAGAACTTTTCGAAAGTCTATTGAAATCGTATCCTCAGCGATTAAAAGCTGTACGTGAAGCCAATGGCGGTCACACTAGATATTGATGTATCATTTCTATTCAAATCAAATAAAAGGTTCGCTTGATATATCATTTGTAACTGAACCACATTTACTTGATACTTTATTTTCTTCGCAAGAAAGTAACCATAATCTTGTACATTTATAACTTGGATTGACTATCTGCATCTATTGAATTGTTAACGGTAGTCCTAGATCCAGTTTTTTACGGGCTTTCATCTGGTATAAAATTCATTAGGTACCTACTTTAAAATCACGTCGTTACCCCCCTGGAAAAAGGTTATGCAACACCCTGTACATACATTAGAAGAATAGTTATAGTTTTCTGCTGTTTACATTTTTGTTTGTTTACCTTGTCAGTTGCACTAGAATATTAAAAGCGTGCAAACTCTTTACCGACGGTTCTTAACTTCACTGAAAATGAAAAAAATATATAAACAGTAAAAGCGTTTTCTAACCTTTTTTCACGCATTCTACATTCATCCTACTTTCTGATATAAATTCTATCATAACGAAGTTTATCCTCCTCCTATTCCTTGATTTTTGCTAATACGAATCCTGTAAAAATGATTGTTTGTTTTTGCAAGCGATTGACTGACATATGCAGAAAAATCATTAAAGTCATTGAACGGAAAGAATACACGAAAATGAAGAAAAATCTCCGAATATAATTTCATGTTAACAAGAATCGAGAAAATCGTGAAGTTTAGAGTCAAATAAGTTTAAAGTAAGGTTTTTTCACGGTACAGTAAAAACGTTCAAAACAACAGAAAAAGTGTCCGTGCAAAAAGATAAACATAAAAATGGCATCTCTTTTGTGTGAAATAATTGGACACAACACCGACCACAATAAAAGATATCTCTGATCCACTATAACGGAAAGAAAATTAAGATTTTGAGCGTAATTAGAAAGCGAGAAAAATTACTTTTTGCTCTATTGTGAGAAATCTCCAGTGAATTATGTACGTAGGATATCAAGGATGCTAACTTTCGTTTGTTAAGCAGCGACATCTATTAAGAATTACTGGTACCTATGAAGTGTTTACGTTATATTAAAAGACAGAAATAACTCTTTAAATAAAACACTGTTTCAATCGATTCCAGACTTGTCACAGAAAGTACGTTTTTTTTAAAAAACAGTTCATTGATAACTGAAACAGCCGACGTACCTGTTGGCATTGCGCCAATTTTTTCTGATCTGTAGGAAATACCATAAAGCTCGAAAGAAACTGATGAGTACTATTAATTCCATTTTGGGCACACAAATTATTCTCTCTCTTCACTTTCTACTCTTTGGTTTTAGGGATTTATCTATTCAAGTTGAAAAAAGTAAAAGTATTTATAAGACTATCGTTGATTTCATTAGGGAGTCTAACCGCTTTGGGGCATAATTGATGTTACTTCTCTTACGTGAAAATTCTTCATACCTCACTCACGCAGTCGCCACAGAAAATCATCCTCATCTCTGAAATCTATATTGCTTCTATACTGTTTTCATCTGGTAAAACTTTACCACTTATTTTTGTTCTTTTTTGTTTATCTAGTTTTGTGTTTTTTTATTTTGTATTTTCTTTCGTGTCTCTCGTCTCTCCCAGTGTCATGCAATGGGCTCAGCCCGATTTGATTATTGTTTCTTCTATAATAAAGTTTAAACCAACAAACGTAAGGTGGTATGCTTTTTTGCTGTAGAAATTCATTTTTCAGATCATACACTGAGAGATCGAACTCCGAGGTGGTACAAAATGTCACAAATATTCAGATGAGGATAGACGCCGCTGGTCTATTGTAGGAAATTTCAAGTAAGTGATGCACACAGCTTCTACTGATGTTTCGCAAAAGTTTGAAATACAACTTACTTTGGATTAGGACTAAGTTGCCAAATACGGCTAGTAGACAAATTGAGGTGCTTTAGTGCCGAACAAGGATGGCTTTTCAGCTCTTCGTTCACATCTTAAGAAGCACAAAACTTGTTGACGATAATCTGTGAGAGATTTGCCAGGATGAGAAGGATTCTAAACATTTTTTTCTAAAGTATTCTGCGATCTAATCTTGATAATGTTAAATTTAAAATTGTTTATGGTGCTGTGACTAATTTCATTGCTGAAACAAAAAAGATTGCACACAAACTGTTGCGCACCTCCTACCTCAATACAAACTGGGTAGGTGTATCTCTCTGTCTATCGAGTTATTATTTATTCTATCACTATTTTGTATTTGTAAATGTTTAAATGTTCTGCTCCCGTGACTCTCTTTTTCATGTTACTGTATTTTCCTGGTTAGTCTTTCTCTTCCCTCTCTGTTCTCCTTTTTTTTAAAGGAAAAAATTACAGAGGTCATATAATGCAGCTTCAAAACCTGCGACTTTATTCTTTGTTATAATACTTTTTTTTCTTCTGTACTAAATAAAAAGTTCTTAATAACAACAGCTTCTATTGCATTTTTGTCAATAATAACGGATGTTAAAAACCACTTTATTGTTAATGTGAAAAGACAGTCAGTGATTGGCCAAAAATGAAAAGCAATCATTCCAAAAGAATCAATTACTAAAAGGATGGAGGAAAGAGGAACATAATATGAAAGAATCATCTGAATGTTATGCTTATTGACTTATAGTTGTGTACTTATTATTGCGCATTATATGAACAGTATAAATTTTAAGAATTACAAGGTCGATGCTGTTACAACTTGTTTGTGGGCGCTTTAGTTTGACTGAATGAACTACTCATTTTTGCCATTATATATTCACAAAATTGTTAATAACAATTTTATGACTATATATAGAACGACGTATTAAATACGTCGTTCTATTAGTTAGTTGCAAGGCAACAGATATGATGTCTACCACAACTTGTTTTTTTCGTTCGTTCTGGCATTGGATTCTATATGTTGACTTCTCTGTATTTGGCATCATTATATAACTCAACCATTTCCTTCGAATTCTAGTTGGATGAAAAAGTTTTGATAGGCCGTGGATAAATTACTTATTAGAAAACTAATCTTTTCTAAAGTGCTTCCATAGAAAGATCTACTTATCTAATGAAAAGAAGGCATTAAGAAAATGATGATAATTTCGTTCAAAAATAGACGAGTAATCAATTGCATAGAATAGTGTGCACTGTCATAAATATTCTACTAGTTAGCTGAAGATTTCTCCATGAGCTTTCATCATTTCACATTGCGTTTTGTAGTGACTAATGATTAAAATGAATTTTTACTTGAAAAATTCGGTTTTTGTATGTATGTCTGTATTAGACCTATTACCTTGCAGTGTAGGGTGAAAATCTATAAAAGTAACAATAAACACAAAAAACATAAAAGTTAAGGTGTTTGTGTCGGTTTCCGGCCGGTTCGTTCACATTGAGACGTTGCTTCAAGGTATATCATCAGCACACTACTCTCCAGATAACTAGTTTAAATAGTGTCCATCATTGCACCAAGGAGAAACAGTCTCAATTTGTTCTCGCATATTGCTGTTTCGAATGTCGAAAACATAATCGAACGTTCCATCCACCGAAAAACACCGATGTTCGTGCGTTCGAGCACCGTTTCTGATTCTTGTCGTTAGCAATTGTAGTTTAATGTCCCCTTGACAGGTTGCTAGTCTGAAGAAGGAGACGGTTGGCTATCGGTAGCTCCGGATCGCCCCCTGCTACTGTTAAAAAACAGCGGCAGGCCCCTGTATGAATTCAAAAACTCCTCCGACAGGCCGATTCGATTTTACTCTGTTTTGAGCTCTAAAAACATATTTTGTTCACAAATCTCATAGTAAACACTGTTCATAATGTGATTCGCAAACAATCTACGATCGAATTTCTATGACTTTTCTACTTTTAATTTCTAACTATCAGAACTATTTGATAATGGTAATAAACTTTATTTTAGATAAATGTGTAAATAACAAAATTATCTTCAGGAATTCGTATTTATTTTATTTTTTCGTTGAAAAAAAATATGCACTGCTAGTTACTCTGATTTTCTTTTATTGATATTTATCTATTATTTTGTGAATGAAATAGAGAATGGGTAATAAACCACCAAACAAACTGAAGTCTCAAGATTTAGCAAAATATAGACAGATGACAACATTTAATGATAATGAAATACAAGAATGGTATAAAGGTTTTATGAAAGATGTATGTTATTTAATATTTTTTTTTATAATTATACCTTAAAGAATAATTTCATTTTTTATTTTTAGTGTCCAAGTGGAAATTTAACAATGAGCGAATTTAAAAAAGTTTGTTTAACATAAAACATTTGAAATAAAATTTATTATTTAATATTTTTTCGTATATTTCTTTTTTTCTAGATATATTCACAATTTTTTCCTTATGGTGATTCTTCAATATTTGCAGAACATGTATTTCGACGATTCGATGAAGATCGTAATCAACAAATATCATTTCCAGAATTTTTAACAGCATTAAGTGTCACTTCAAGAGGAAAACTCGAAGAAAAACTCACATGGGCATTTGGATTATACGGTATCTATCATTAGAGTGTTGAACAGATTTATTTAACACTCGAAAGTAGTTTAACGGGTGTTCCATAATAAATTGCACTAAATTTTAATGCATTTTTCTCTTATTTCCTATTTATAAAAAAATTCCCTTTATATACCAAACGATAGACAATTTAATTCTCTCTATTAGATTGTATATTTATTTTTAAGATTCATCTTTAATATTTGATGCAGTAACTCTAACAAGAAACGCTCCAAATTTTTTAGCTGTATCTTCAAAACATCGATTTTTTTCCCCCACAAAACCTCGCTAAAAATCACTTATTTAACAAAACAAGGTCTACTGAAAAATTCATCAAGAAATTTTCTACAATATGATGATTTTTTTAATGAGAAAGAATGATTTTTTAGATGAAATCGAAGCGAAAAAGAATCTTTGAAAACAGATCATTTTCTTCTATTTTTTGGCCATCTTAGCGATATTCAGTATCAGGGTTCCCGATCAGGAGGGGGGCCAGCTCCCCTTCTCGAAATTTTTTTGACTTTCTGGCAAAATTTTTGACGTTTTTCTATCAACCAATTTCGAAAACTTTTTTTCGCCAGCCACTTTCTGCGAAGCAAAATTTTTAGCCTCGCGAATGTCTGCATTGTTTGGTCTATAAACTAATGATTTGAACTTTGAATTCTATACTGAAATAGTCAAAACGTTTTCTAAGTGTAGAAACTTCGATGGACTGAGAAATTTATCTAATAAAGCCACTAGCAATTGAAATAAATTAACGTCAAGTAAACTGTTTTGTAAAACATGAAATTGTTCATCATTTGATGGTAATAAAATTATTTTATTATAAACAATTAAAAAAAGAGAACAGTTTGAACTTTAAAACTGCTTCGTTCAGTTAAAAAAGTTGAAGCTTTTCTTGTTAGAGTTACTGCGTCAAACATTAAAGATGAATCTTAAAAATAAATATACAATCTTGTAGAGAGAATTAAATTGTCTATCGTTTCGTATATAAAGGAAATAAGAGAAAAATGCATTAACATTTAGTACACTTTATTCTGAAACACCCGTTGGATGAACTTCCACTCTGCTAATTGATGTCATTGTTAAGAAAGAAATCGTCTCTACGCTTAAGAATCTTGTCTGTATAAGGAAATAGCTATGGTAGAAAAGCTTGAAATTTAGATAAATAACAGCAAATGTTTTGAGATTTACCATTTTTATTTTCAAAAAATATATATGCTTCTATTCTCTATTTAGATGCAAACAACGATGGTTATATAACAAAACAAGAAATGTTGGACATTGTTTCAGTAAGATAAACATAAAACTGATGTAAAAATCAATCGTCCGATATGAGATTCCCGTTTTTTTTAGAAAAGTTGAGAATGAATACTTAGAACAGCTATAGGCAATCTTTTTTTATTTATTTTACATCAGATGATTCTAATTCTTGAATTCTAGTGATTATTAATTCGTAATATTTTTGTCTTTTTGTTATTGATAACTTCTTGTAAGATGAAGAATCGTTTCTTTTATAAGTTCTTTTTGTAGTGATTTCGTTATTCTTTCTAATGTGTTTGAGACGGTACGTGAAGAACAAGGAAAGTGAAAAGGTTTTTTTATTGTTGATTTATGATTTTTGAAATCTGGCAAATTGATTAGGATGCACATAGTTTTAAAAATCATATATATATATACAGGATGGCCCAAAAGTGGCTTTACCGAGGTAGACACACATTATTCTGTATATTTTTATTTTGATTGCGCTCGTTTTTATACCAAAAGATTCCCCGTTGAATTCTCTACAAAAAATGTACTGACTGTTTTATTGCAAAATCCGACAGTGCAAAATGTCATGAGAAATTGTGAGAAGTACCAAAATGTAGAAAAAATAAACATAATTAACAGATTTTTTTAGTATTATCTGCTAAAAGTTCGTAAAAGAGGAAAGCTGAAATAGTTACCCTATACGTCTCGAAAAGATGTATTTTCCACCTATAATTTAAATAATTTTTAGTTAGAATTGAGGGGCAAGAATTTTATTTATTTTGCCAATTTTTAAAAAATGGCGATTTTTTACCAATAATTTGAGCCTTCTAGTAAAACAAATAAAGATTAGTCAAACTTGATCCATTCCGGTTGATTTTTTTTATTTTGAAAACAAGTGATTAGTCGTTATGATCGGATCTCTAAGATTTGGAAAAAAAGTTTGTTTGGATCCACTGCGCAAAAAAAAAGATAACAACTTTTACTAATTTCACTTGATTGCTGAGAAGTTAATCTTTGCGTTGGATATTTAGATTCAAATGATTTTTGCTCTGCACGACAAGAAAGAGCGTATTTGAAACTACACAAAAATATAGTGAAACCGTGTTTTAATGCTTGTGAAACCATTCGAAAAAACTTTCGCTCTCTTTGATAAAATACTTATTTTTTCTACATTTTGGTACTTCTCACAATTTCTCATGACATTTTGCAATAAAACAGTCAATACATTTTTTGTAGAGAATTCAACGGGGAATCTTTTGGTATAAAAACGAGCTCAATCAAAATAAAAATGTACAGAATAATGTGTATCTACCTTGGTAAAGCCACTTTTGAGCCACCCTGTATATCGGCATGAGTGTGTCATTTTTTGCTGTTTATGTTGTCATAAGAATAGTAGAATTCATGTCACCTTTTTAAACATATTTATTTATTTGATGTTTCATTCT